TACTTCATAGTTACTTATAGATATTATTATGGATAAATAGGGGCCCTGTTCTTCGATAACAAATTAGATATTTAGCATAATAAATTGTTTTATTTATTATATTTTATTTGATTTAAACATTATAGATTACAATGCAGTTATTTAAAAAATTAAAATATATGCGGAGCGCCGTCGGAGCCCCCTGACTGCAGTGCCACAACAGCCGCAATTTCAGCCGGGACAATGCCCCTGCAGAAAACTGTTAGCTCGGGGAGCCCCGACGGCGCCACGCATCTATTTTTGAATTTTTGAACTTTTATGTTCAACCCCCCTCCCCCATGAACACAAACATAATATATTTGTACTTATAATATAATTATAAATTATAATAATTTATTGGGAACAAATCTAGTTTAGCACCCATGCGAATTTTTCAATTTCTTTTTCTGTAACTTATGTATATTACAAGCTACAACGAATTAAGAAAGATACTTATTGCAAAAATTAATTGCCTGAAATCATTAGTTTTTATTTTAAAACGACTATGGTCGGGAATGTCTGAATTTGGCTATCAGACTTATTTTAAAGTTATATAGCTAATTGAAATTCTTGGTATTTTCATATATACCAGTCGTAGTCACTCGCACTCTGCGCTCGCACTGACAATTAAAATCAAAAACATCCTTTGAATTGTTATGTAAAACCACCATGCTTGGGTGTCATAATTATTTTTAAAACGTTGATTTACCTAGGTTAAAAAAAAATTTAATTTATTATACTTAAGCTCGGTAAACTTTAAGCGTTGTATACGGGTGCGTAAAACACCGAAAATCGTGAACTTCGTAAGGCTATATACTATAAAAACTAATGATTTCAGGAAAATAGTTTTTGAATCATATAGTTCTTAACTGGTTTCAACACATGTTTCCGAAAAAAAAAATTGAAAAATTTGAATGAGCTCTAAACTAGATTATAACACTAAATTTAAAAAAAAATTCACTCTGCTGTATAGTAGGTTACAAGTGGGTCACTTTACAATGGATGGTATTAAATTTGAATTCAATGATATAATATCATTGTATAAGAAAAACGATTCTGAGCGAAAACGGTCAGTCAGCCTATGATATTATTAGTACCTATATTACTAAGTATATTTGATGATATTAAGGTGAATAAAGTAATTTATACATAACCTATTTACGTGGAATCTTGTTTTAAATTTTCAGTCCTTAGCTATAAAAGTTGAATTAAATTTTTACACTTTTTGGCCCAACAAATAAAACTTTAAAGGATGTAGGTACCTATATACCTATTAACTTTACGGCTAGACATTATTTTATTTGTATTAATTTACATAAATTTAACACCAAATAATTAAAATTTATAATTTATAATAATTCCATGTTTATGAGATTGGACTATATTAAATAATTTATATAATTATATTATGTCTGGTGGATAATGCCATTATGGTGTTTATTTTTTTATACTTCAATAATATACTATTTCATAATAAATATTTATTTTGAATGTAAAGATAATATTTTGATTTTTAAAATGTATATTTGTAAAGATAATATTTTGATTTTTAAAATGTATATTTTCAATGGGAACTCGTTCCCGGAGCACGGGACCACCCTACGCAATAGACATCTCGAGACTCGACGACTATCTACTAACAGGTGTCGCCGTCTGCGTGTGGCAGCACTCCGGACTCCGGTAGTCGGTACTCGGTACCCGATAGTCTGGCGCACGCTGCACACTGCACGGACGGTGTACACTACAGTTTGCAATTTATTGTCCGTCTTCCGACCGACCGTCGGGCGTAAAATACTCGGGTGTCGACTGTCGGGTACGATCGGATCGGGATTTGAATTTTGAATTCTTCCATACGTCGGGTCATAGAAATGTTCTATAATAATAATATGTTCTATAGTCGGGTGCCTCACAAATTTACACCCACCCGAAATGAGTGCAGAATTATACACAATCAAGACTGTTGACTCCGTTGGGTTGGTCGCACTGCGTTTTCGCTCATTGACGAAAAAGTCTGGATCGATCGTGTTCACTGTTCCATTTTTTATTAATAATAATAATTTTCACTCTTTTCGTTTTTTCTATTATTATTATTTTTTTTTACCGTAATTTTAATTACATTTTCGGACTGTTTATCGACACCTTATCTGTGTGTGTGTGTGTGTGTGTGTGTTTTTTACCGTGTCTTTGAGCGTAGTCCGTACGTATGCAGCGTATATCACATATTCGCATTATCGAAAACGGATGACGAATCGGTTTTCAACGGAATCGGCCGTCCGGTAATATTTAATAATAATAATAATACCGAATAAAAATTAAAAATATGCCATAATAAAACGCCGTCCGAAACACTGACACCGACGAAGAAGTCGTCTGTCTCCGCTGTCGTTATCTAACTTGCGCGTTATCGATTTCGAGAGACGACTATGACGAGGAAAATAAAGAGTTTGTGTCTGCTTTGGAGAACATTGTCGCAGGTATGTACTTAGTAATATTGTATTTGTATCCTTCTACTGTTTTTTGTTCTCGCATTATTAATAATAATTAATAATAATCATATTCTTATACCTACCTATATTATATACATATGTCATATAATGGTATGTATAGGTATATCTATACATATGTCATATTATAATGGTATGTATATATTTATTTATACATATATAATATTATATATGGCATAAGTTATTGTGGTGAATGTTACACTGTATAATGTGTTGTGTTGTGTTAATCGTTAAAATGATGTTCAAAACAGTGCGATTGGTTTTTTGCTGTTTGTGGTTTGATACACACATCGATTGTGTATAGTCGTAAGCACCACCTACTTCTAGACTAGGTACTGCATATTTTGTCACAAGCAATTAACAGTAAATTCTATGTTACACATACAAACAGTTATACCTACCTATTGTCTAATTAATCAATGACAATTCATTAACTTATCTATTGTTGAAAATGTTTGAAACCCTATTTGGCATGTAAATGGGTTTAGAGTTAAATATGTTTAGTTAAAAAAAAAAACTTATTTGTTATGAACATAATTTATCAACTGATAGTATACTGTATACCTATTATACTTACATGTATATGTATTATGTATTTCATACTATTGATTTTTTTTTTATACAATTTTCATAATGGTTTAATAGAACATTTAATATTCCAATTTATTCTCAATGTTTTGTAGGTACCTACATAAATAATTGATTACAAACATATTTTTATGAAATAGAAAATGTATTGATCAATTTTGAAATTTGAAATTAGGTATTGCATTCCAATTTTATAGCATTAATAATTACAGGTATGTAGTGACTACTTGAAAATTTTTTTTTTACTAAAGTAGTTTTAACATAAATGTGTTCTTTAATTATACATATTTGCATATATTTCTCAATTCTATCAATATCTTCTCTCAATACATTTCTTCGGCACAATGCTAATATTTGATTCCTTTTGATGTTAATAAGGTGTGTATTTCTTTTTACCTGTGTAAACATATAAACAGGGGATTCACCATGCATACTCCACCATTTTTTTTCTTTAATAATTCAGTTATTCAAAATCTAATTTTTGGAAGATATTCTAACTTAAATTTTGATTTAGATAACTACATCAAATTGAAAAAAAAATCATCTGCTGAAAAATGTAAAATAAAAAAATATGCTTCTTGTTTGAAAAATAAAAGTTTGTATTGACACAGGTTGATACTAATGGTACAAAAAATCCCAATCACTCGAAAATGTGGTCCTAAAGTATGGATACCTATTTAAAAATTCCAAAAATCAGATTTTTAATAACTGTGTAATGGATTGTAATGCATGGTGAACCACCATGAATAACTTATTTTTTGCAATTATTTATTTAATGCAATTTAAGAAGTAATTGTGCCAAATAAAATTTGGTAAAATTAAAATTTATAAACCTAATATTATGTAGGTATAAATTTAATTTAATTTTTAGATTATAAAATGTCACTAAAACTTAGTTGAATATATAGTTTTATATTTTATGTAGGTACCTATATAATACCTAAATTGAATTATTTTAGTTAGGTATCTAAAACATTTATTGTTTAATGTAACTAATTTATACATTTTTACATAGGATACCTAATAGTTTTTAAAATAATAATTATATATTTAATGATTTGCTTAAAGTTTGAGATATTTTTTAAGTAAAATGATTTATTTTTATAAGTGGTATTAAGTATCAGCAATGACATCATGAATAAATAATTAATTTAAGTGAAAGAGACACATACCATATTCATGAGTATATTCTATATAGTGGTAGACTACCATCAATTTACCATCTGTAGTCAGTAACACACCATCCTATGCAATATTAATTGTTAATCAAGTCACATTTAACTCTGCCAGCATTGGGCGACTGTTTTAATTATTATTCTTAAGAATACCTTAAGGCTTATACAAACATAATACATAAAATATCATAACATCTCATAGGTAGTAATAATATTTTTAATTTTAATAGATGTTTGAGGTTATAGTTATTACACTCATTGCTATGATAGTATGATAAATATAATACCTACTAACAAATATTAATTATTAGTTTAATTTATTAAATAATAAATAATACTGTGATACATAATTGTTACCTTATAGTAGGTAGATAAATAATCGTAAAGCTATTTAATATAAGGAAACAATAATAATTATTTGGCAGTTCTCAATAAACAATTGAATATTGATACTAATAAGGAAAACTTATATTATTTGTATCTAATCTAAAATTAATTATACCTAAATATATAAGTGATTAATATTTAATATATTTTAAAATTATTTATTAATAGGTGGGTACAAGATACATACCAATACCTATAAACCTAATAACATTAAAATGTACCCATCACTATTTTCTAATACTTATACTTTTTCAGATACTATATTATGTATAAAATATTCATTATACATTAATATCCCAAAAATATATTGATAATATACAATTTAAAAATGCCGGCGATTCCAAGGCCAGGAAGTTTAAAAGATCCTGAAATAGCTGAACTTTTTGATAAAGATGACCCAGATAAAATATTTGAAGACTTACGAGAAATTGGACATGGAAGTTTTGGAGCTGTATATTATGCAAGATGTTCAGCAACCAAAGAGATAGTTGCCATCAAAAAAATGTCCTACTTAGGAAAACAAAGTATGGATAAATGGCAAGACATATTAAAAGAAATAAGGTTTTTAAGGCATCTCAAACATCCAAACACAATACAATACAAGGGTTGTTTTTTAAGAGATCACACAGCATGGGTAAATAATATATATATATAGTTATCACATTAAAACATTTTGTAAACATAATAATTTAAATTTCAGTTGGTGATGGAATATTGTCTGGGTTCAGCCTCAGATATTATAGAAGTACACAAAAGACCTCTAATGGAGGAAGAAATTGCTGCTATTTGTGATGGGGTTTTGAGAGGTCTTAATTATCTTCATTCTTTAGGTCGTATACATCGAGATGTAAAAGCTGGAAACATCTTACTAACAGAAAATGGCACAGTAAAACTTGGTAATTAAACTTATTCTATAAATGTAATCAATTAATTTAAAACTAAAAACTACTTCTTGTTATTTAGCTGATTTTGGATCTGCCAGTACAAAATGTCCAGCTAACAGTTTTGTAGGTACTCCTTACTGGATGGCACCTGAAGTTATATTGGCTATGGATGAAGGGCAATATGATGGAAAAGTTGATGTTTGGTCACTGGGTATAACATGCATTGAATTAGGTAAATATACACAAATTGTAAAAATTTTATTACTTATTACGGAGTAATAATTTGACTGTTTTTTTTATACATCTATGTATTTTAGTAAATTTTAACATCTGAATAAATCCACTATTATAGTTATTAATATGTATATATATATATATTTTTAGCTGAAAGAAAGCCTCCATATTTTAACATGAATGCAATGAGTGCCCTTTATCATATTGCACAGAATGATACTCCTACCTTACAATCATCTGAATGGACAGACACATTCCGATACTTTGTTGAACTGTGTTTACAAAAAAATCCTTGTGAGCGCCCATCTTCATCTAAACTTTTACAAGTAAGTACAAAAATTATGTTTTTTGAATATCCAGAGGGATTGGTAACTTTATTTTTTATCATGTTTAGCATCAATTAATAACTCGTTCAAGATCATCTAATGTTTTAATTGATCTTATTCAAAGAACGAAAGCTGCTGTTCGTGATTTAGATAATCTCAATTATAGAAAAATGAAAAAAATTCTTATGGTGGATTTGTATGAAACTGAGAGTAATGTTGGTGACAATGATGGTATGTATACTTTTTAAAATAAATTTGTTGTTTCGCATCGAAAACCGAAACAACAAATAATATATCTTTTTTCTGTAATTAACGCCAGATAATGCTGATGAACATACAGGCGGAGAAAGCAGCAAGAGTAATAGTATAACTTCAGAACATTCAATACAGTCAATTGGTGTCAGCGCTTCATCGCACAGTAGTTCTACCAATAGTACGCCGAATATGAATGAAATAACTAATATGAGCACAAACGACCACTATCCAACAGCTAGAAATCGTCACAAAGTATTATTAATATATTATTATTGTTTTATGCACTGCACATGAACACTATACATCATATACATTTTATAATAATCAATCAAATATTTATTTGGGGCAGGGGTGTCATTTTTGGAGAGGGGGGACAGGGTATACATTTGTGCCAACTGCTACCCAACTGTTGCCTGTATTCGGATTTTATTGGCCACTTGTTATATTGTGATAATAAGATACCAAAAAATAGATAACTCCCATAAAAAGGGGAAAAAAATAAGTCTAAAAATAGCATAAATGTTGTACAATTTTAAAACTTCACGGTTTGTTATTAATTTAAATTTAAGTTGTTAAATTAAAATAGCTAGTGGAAAAATATAGAATTATCAATTAAGTGGATTGTATATTGTGCAATTGTGAGCAAAAAAACGGGGCCCATAGAATAAATTTCAGGTTTTATTTAGCTAGTTATATCATGTGTTTCAAGTGCAGGGAGAACATTTTCTTAGGTTAGGTTAGGTATTTTATTATTAAGGTGCTTATATTATTCGCCACGGAATAAGAACTTACCTTAGCGGCAGACCGAAACAGGTTTGCCGAGCGCATGTTTAATTGAATCCCGGAAAAAAAAACCAAAGTGATAATATAATCAGAGAATTAGCATTATCACAAAATATAATATACAATCTATATGCTGTGTTATCAATATTATAAAAATTATGTGTTGATTAGGAAGAAATATATAAAGCTGTTGTAGGGAAACATAGCCTTCACGAAAGAAGTAACAATAACGGGATAAAGCTGATAAATTTCGCTATAAGCAGAGGAATGAATATCAGTAGCACGCAGTTTCCCAGAAAGAATATATATAAACATACGTGGATATCTCCAGGTGGCAGATACACCAGCCAAATAGACCATGTACTAATAAATAATAGATACAAATCAAGTGTTACAAATGTTAAAAGCTATAGAGGAGCAGATGTAGATTCGGACCATTATCTTGTAATTGGAGTCTTCAAGAGTAAAATGGCAGCAAAGTGGAATAATGAAAGAAAATCAAAAACAACTAGAAAATTTGACATCGAGAAGCTTAAAGAAGAAGAAATACGGAAAAAATACCAGGAAACAGTAGAAGAAAAATTAAAATCAAAAAAAAGTTCTAGTATTGAAGAATTGGAGGACAAATGGAATATAGTTAAAGACTCAATAACAGAAACCGCGGAGAGCATAATACAATTCACACAAAGACCAAAAAAGAATAAATGGTTCAACGAACGTTGTAGACAAGGAATCCAGGACCGTAATAATGCTAGAATTAAAGCAATCCAGGTACCCACACCTGAAAACATCATTGATTTTGAGATCAAAAGGAAAGAAGTGTCAAGGCTAATCAGAAAAGAGAAAAGAATGTCAGAAAAAGCAAAGATTGAAGAAATTGAAAGGTATAAATACAATCCAAGAGAATTCTTTAAGAGGTGCAAGACAATTAAAGCTGGCTTCGTCCCGCCTATACTATCCCTAATAGATGAAAATGATACCCTGATATATGGTCCAGAAATCATAGTTAACAAATTCAAAGATTATTTCAAAGAATTACTAAATAAAATACCAGATAATGATAATAACGACAAAGAAACTAGAGCTTATTACACAGTAGACCAGGAAGTACTTGCCCCTAGCCTGGACGAAACAAAAGCGGCAATACACACTCTGAAAAATAATAAGGCATCAGGGGAAGACAGGATTAACTCTGAATTTTGGAAGATAGGAGGCCAAGAAGTAGAAAGGGAACTACATTCGGTAATTCTACAAATATGGGAAGAAGAAAGGCTCCCGCAAAGCTGGAAAGAAACACTTATTTGCCCAATATTCAAAAAAGGAGATCGAAGAAAAGTAAAAAACTACAGGGGGATAACCCTATTAAATACAGGATACAAGGTTCTATCATTAATAGTATTAAAACGATTAGAGAGATACGCCGAAGAAACTGTAGGTGAATACCAAAGTGGATTCAGAAAAGGAAGATCAACCACAGACCATATATTTGTAGTGAGACAATTAATGGAAAAGCATTATGAATACGCAAAAGACCTGCATATGGTGTTTGTGGACTATAAACAGGCCTATGATAGCGTGAACAGGAAAAAACTATGGGAGGTGCTCAAGACATTTGGGATCCCTTTGAAAATTATCAAAATGGTACAATTATGCAACAGTGAAACGTATAGTAAAGTAAAACTTGGGAATGAGGTGTCTATGGCTTTTGAAATCAAAAGTGGACTAAGACAAGGGGATGCCATGTCACCCATATTATTTAACATGGCATTGGAAAGCGTGGTACGTGAAATGTCAAACGGAGATGCCTGGTCACCTCACAGAGGACTACTACTCGCATACGCAGATGACATAATAATCACTGGAAATACTAGAACAGAAGTCCAAATGAATCTGAAGAAATTAATGAAGGCAAGTAAAAATATGGGTCTGTTAGTAAATGAAGAGAAGAAAAAATACATGGCAATAACAAGAAGATCAGAGGATAATTCCAACCTTAAAGTAGAAAATAAGGAATTCGAACAAGTTAAAGAATTTAAGTACCTTGGTGTAACTCTAAACAACAAAAATATTATGCACGAAGAAATTAATGTGAGGCTGAATGCAGCAAATCGATGTTATTTTGCAATGGAGACGATATTTAAATCAAAATTGATATCGAAAAATGTCAAAGAAAAACTTTATATAAGTTACATAAGACCGGTATTGACGTATGCATGTGCCACATGGGCCACAACTAAAGGTGATGAAGAAAAACTAAGTAGATTTGAAAGGAAAATCTTAAGAAAAATACATGGTCCAGTATTTAATACCGAAACCCAACAATGGGAATTAAGATCGAATGCACAACTAGAGAACCTATACAAAAGAGAAAATATTGTAGAATACGTTAAAAGTATAAGAATGCAATGGGCTGGACATGCGTGGCGTGCGGAAGGATGCCTGATAAAAGAAATAATGACTTGGACGCCAACAGGGAAAAGACCAAGGGGAAGACCCCGAAGAAGATGGATAGACAGCGTAAATGACATATGGAATGCGGTAGGCCAAGAATTTAGGACGAATTGGCAAATCATAGCGCAAGATAGAGAGAAATGGGAGGAGATAGTTTTGGTGGTAAAGATCCTCAATGGATCGTAAAGCCGGGAAAAAAAAAAAAAAAAAAAAAAATGTTGATTAAATACACTTTCAAATATTATACAATTAATTATAATTATATTTTTATTGAGAAAAATTTATACAAATGAGCATAAGTAAATGATTGATTGAATATAAGTTACGATCACTATGTATATAGAAATATTAGTTTAATTTTCTATTGCATACATTTTAGTTGGAGAAATTTCCTGTACATATACTACTGGGTGATTCTTTTATCAAACAACACTCATTATTTCAAAAAGTGTAAATTTTTTTGAAGATATTTTTTTACATAGTTTCAAGTCGCTTATGAAACAACGTTTTTATTAAAAAATTATTTTTTTAATTATTTTTTATCTTTATAATTTTTTAAGTTTTTTACTTTTTTGAATGACAACATAGGGTTTTAATTTTATATTCTAAAGTAGAATATTTTTCTTAGTATTTTGATACATGAAAATTGAATTTGGGGCGAGTAGTTTATGAGTTATAAGTATTTAAAGTTTAGACGAGCGGTGAAGTGGACAAACATTTCGCGGGGTAACCCCAAACCATTCCACTCCGCTCGTCAAAACTTTAAATACTTATAACTCATAAACTACTCAACCCAAATTCGATTTTCATGTATCAAAATACTAAGAAAAATATTCTGCTTTGGAATATAAAATTAAAACCCTATGTTGTTATTCAAAAAAGTAAAAAACTTAAAAAATTATAAGGATAAAAAATATTTAAAAATATAATTTTTTAATAAAAACGTTGTTTTATAAGCGACTTGAAACTATGTAAAAAAATATTTTCAAAAAAATTTACACTTTTTGAAATAATGAGTGTTGTTTGATAAAAGAATCACCCAGTATATTGGTTTCAAAAATCAAAATAACTCAACTATATAATCAGACAAGTTTGACAAGTTAATCTGTCAATCTGTCAAGATTTATAGTTGAAATAGGGGGAACATGAAGATCATATAAAAATACACTATTGATCATTATGCTGACTTTGACTTTACTAGTTTACTGTATTGTGTTCTTGTCTGACAAATTGTTTTTTTTTTAAAGTTCTGGATTTAATAGTGTAAGATATGGAAATTATTTAAATTATTAAATCAAATAAGTTTGCAGATAAGATTTGTCACAAAGGTCATATGTATACTTTAAAATATGCTGGAAAACAATATTATACATGGAGATGTACAAAAAAAAGTTCACTTAATTGTCCGGCTATTCTGAGAACAACTAAGATAACTCAATCTTTTGTTTCAAAAAATTTTGATTATATTATCACTTTGGTTTTTTTTTCCGTATATTGTTTAATTATGTCTTTGACAAGGTTGCTTTTGGGGAACCGACCGCCGCCTGTGTGATGAGGTACTTTCTTATCCCGCGGCGAGTATATACCCATACATTTATTTACTAAATGTTAATATAACTGGTAACCACAATTTAAATTAATTGACATTATCTTAATTAAATTACACAAATATTCTACGGTTTTTGAAATTCGACAGATTCAAGATAGTTAATTAAGCGATTCATAGTTAGTGAGGGTAGCTATGGAAATTAATATTGAAGGAAAGTGTGGAAGGCCGAAGATAAGGTGGTTAGATAGAATAGAGGATGACATAAAAATAGCTGGTGTGAATAAAAGAGAGGGATGGCAGAGCACTGTGAAGGTGTAGGACAATTATGGCCGACCATGTTAGGCATATTATAGTTGGCAGAGAAGAAGAAAAAGAAGAGATATTTTCCCCATTGCTCCCCCCTCTCGAAAAAGGGACCATGGTTGTGGCCTGATAATGACTTTAAGGCCTGTGAATATTTGGCACCAGCAATAAAAAACTGAAATGACGCCCCTGATGTGGTGGGGTATTTTAATGAGACATCATTGTAGTTTTTATATGAGATAAATAAAACTAGAAACAATATTGTTGTCATTTACAAATATCTCAAAAAGTTGTAATAACCATAAAATTGTATGAAATATTTCTATTGATAATGTATATATGTACATTAATAAATATTTACCTTGCTTCTTATTATTAATTGATTATTCAGTATATTATATAATACAAAACTTACTTACTTCTATTTTAAGAGTTAGTTAAATTTTAGATACACTTTCTAAAATACTTAAATAAAAATATACCAGGACTATTTAATTACGAGGACATTACATCTGCATGATCCATCTTACAAACGCATAACATAGCAAGTTGTATATTCTGAATAATCAATTTAACTGGTATATTAAATATTAAAGTGTTGACTGACCTATTATCACATTTAAAAGTAAGTACATTATCATCTAGTGAATCTCTTTTTTAATTTTAAATTTAAACCAATTTATGAGGATTTCGAAATACGCAAACAATTGAGAATTTTAAAATGCACATAATTCACTATAAAATTAAAATATAATAAAACTAGGAAAATAATTAGATTCACTAGATAATATTTTTTCCTTTAAATGTTTATGATTATTATTATAGGTCAATACTCTAATATTTAACATATAAGGTTAAATGGATTATTCAGAATGTACAATTTGCTATGTTATGTGTTTGTAAAATGGAGACAGTATGAAATATATTTTTTATTAAGTGATTTTAGAAATTGTATCTAAATGTTTATAAATTATAAGAATATGGTGTTAAATGGATTATCTTACTACCAATATCTACAACAATTTAGAAAAATTAAAAATTCTATCAATAATGGATTAACAACTTTCAGTTTTCTTTAACACTGTATTAATAATTGCTTTTATTTTGTTCCTTACAGAGAATACTGTATACAATTTATTATAGTTTATTTAGAATCAATATGTTACAATTTTAGGAGTTTATAAGACTGCTCAACATGTGAACTTTAATTATGTTGTATTGTCCGGTTGCGGTTTTACTTTTGGGGGATGGGTAGATCATCCCTTGGCCATCCAAACATACAACATTCGTTGTAAATAAAAATTATTTTATGTATAGGTTGACAGCATAAAATTATAGCATAATAAATAAATTATTACATAATTAGCATACAAATTACTTCTCTTATACCTATCAACAAAGTGTGGTGGTGTATATGAATATGTAAACTATTTTTACCTGCTTGGTACTTGTCAAGGTCGTCCCTAGTATACAGGGTGTCCCGTGAGGATTTACTCATTGCGATATCTCCTGAAATAATAGAGATATCGTAATTCTGTTTTCTTATTAAGACTCACAGAGGTAAGCACTACAAATAACTAATTTTTTATTTTTTTTTTATGTTTTGGTAAAAAAGTTAAAAAAAATATTTTTTTAATTAATTATTTAAAAAAATATTGAAGATTGCCATTTTGTAGAGTTCATTTTTCTGAAAATATTGACGTTTCAACATTTTAATTTCATTAATTTCCTGATTTTTAATAATTTTTTTAATTAATAAGTAAAACGGCAAAAAACCGGTTTTTGTCCGGGCGGCGAGTCCCCCTCTACGGCTAATAGGTAAATCCTCACGGGACACCCTGTAGTTGTATACAGTTTTTTTTTCAACTCTTATGCTTGTTACGAAAGTTATTTCATTTGATAAAGTTAAAATATATATGGAATAGGGGAAAAAAATGTGAAGGTGTTTCACATTAGAAACACCTGAATTAGAGTACTAACAAAAGCACTTTAAAAAAAAAGGAAACTGAATAATCTTTGTAAATAATATTTCAATTATTGCTTTTAAATATTAAAAAAAAAAATAAACATAAGTGTAGTATATGAACAAAACTTAATGTATAAAGTAATAATATTAATATTTTGTTCTAGCCATCTAGTAATAATTCTAATTCTATTGTATCCAACGATCATGTGGCTATCGGAGTTCCCAATAATTTTGCAACTATTCGAACAACATCTATAGTCACAAAACAACAGAAAGAACATATGCAGGAAGAAATGCATGAACAAATGTCTGGCTATAAACGAATGAGAAGAGAACACCAGAGTGCATTATTAAAAGTAATTATTCCCAAAATAAATTATAAGATATTTGTAAATTTAACATGTACATTTATGTTATATACTTTTGTTAAAGCTTGAAGATAGATGTAAACTTGAAATGGAAAGTCATAAACAGCTCTTGGATAAAGAATATGAAACTTTATTGCAACAATTTAGCAAGGAACTAGAAAAATTACAAATTAAACATCAGCAAGAGTTAGAAAAGAAGGTATTTTTTAATTTAGTAATAAACATAATTTTTAGATAATATTAAATGCAGTTATATTTTATATAATTCTATTAAGTTATACTAATTATTAATTTAACACTAACTGAAGACTTTTATGTTTTTGATATAATGCAGATTTTTTAGGCAAGCTTTCTTAATGTTATTTATTTATAGCTTGTTGAATTACCCATTCTTACATATTAACAAAGACCTTATACCCTTAGACCATAGATTCTTAACCTTTTCTGGGCCATGGACCCCTTTGAAGTATAAAATATAATCACGGACCCCCCTCCAAGAAAAAAATAAAATATATAAATAAATAGGTAAATAAAATTTTTATTTTAATATTTAATTTTTTTTAATGATAAATCTAAGACTTAATACTATATTCAATTATTGGGAATTATCACTTTTTCTTATAGCCAAAAACCAATTTTAATGTGACATTTGCTGTTGTTTTGATTGTAATATTGCCTTGAAATCTGGGACCGTATTGAACAGAGTAACACGCATATCGTCCTTAATGTCCAATCAATTTCTTGCTTTATTTTAATTGTGACCATTGTAAAAAAATCCAGACTCACAGAGATAGGTAGTAGGAAATGGAATCAAAAATGTCATTGCCATGGATACAGCTCGCAGATAAGCCTTTGTCAATGAACACCAAAATTCGATTAAATTTTTTGTTTGAAAATCGTTGTGTGCCATTTCTTTTGATCTCAAATCAATTAATTTGTCTTTAACGAGGTCTGAATCATTAATTGTATTTAATTCCACTAGAAAAGGATTGCGTATCCATGTTTCTGATTTCGAAAATGTAGAATCGAAATAATTGAATGAAATTTAAACCAAATTAATTTTCAAGCACAACAAGATTGTTGCTTAGTGGCAGAATACGGGCAAGACATTATTAATGTTATCTTAAAAACGCTATCAAAACAAATTTATTTTCGCGTAATCCAAAAAAACTCACAGTCACCCCGTGGACCCCTGAGTAACCATCTACGGACCCCCGGTTAAGAACCTATGCCTTAGACGGAGTATTAAAGGTTGGTAGTGTTTGGTGGAGATGTCACAGCCATCATCATAGTAGTGTTTTATTTCTGACATCATAAAAGTTGATTTTGAGTTGCACTAAGAAAAAATAGTATAAATTTAGTCAAAAGATAGTATGTGTTAAAATTTCTGTTTTTTCTAAAAAAAAAAATTGGTTTTTCCCTACACTTTTATAAACTGCTGGTAACTTTTTATATTTGACCTCCTAAAGTACCAACTAGATTCAGTTTCCTACCAGAAAAGATACTAAAGTAAAAATGTGTAGCATTTCTCTACTGCTTCAAAGGTGGTAAAGCCACAAAAAAACATATCATTTTAAAATCAATTAAATTGATTGCTTTTCTGAGAATCTAAAAAAAAATCATGAATAATCCTTAGCTTTATGGATTAGAGTACTAAAAGATGTGACTAAAGCGCAACTTGTGGTCCTTTTTTTGTGCGATTCTTTTCAGGAAGTTTTTCAAGTGAAATGCCATCCAGATTTTTTCGTTCATAATAATGCTGCCTCTAATTATAATTTAAAATCAAATACTGATAAATATTTTTAGATATTAGTTAACTATAATATGTCTTAAAAAGTTAAAAATATGATACATCCAAAGATGATTCTAAGGCATATTATAATTCTAGTACATAACTTTTTTTAATAAAGGAATATTTTATATTTTTTTCAATGTAGATAAAACAGAATGTTGCAGCTGAAAAGAAAATAATGAAAGAAATAACCAACAGACAAGAAGCAGACCGCAAAGCATTTGATACACAAAGAAAAAAAGATTATAAAACCAATAAAGAGCGATGGAAACGTGAGTTATTATTGGATGAATCCACACCTAAGCGACAAAAAGATGCTGCTTTACAGTTAGTATGCATATATTATAAAATAGTTATATATTTTAAAATTAATTCTTCTTTACAGATCTCAAAAAGAAAACCTTAAACAAATGGAAGCTCAAGAAGAACACAGACTTATTCGAGGTCAAAAAGATTATTTGGAACTTGAAATTAGGAAATTTCGTAGAAAAAGGCTAAATCAATACCATTTGTATGAACAAGGATTATTAAGAGAAGTATGTATTTTTAATTATTTTCATGTTCAGTGAATTTAATTATGGATATTAGTTATCAGTTAATTTATGACAATAAATTAACAATCAATACTCCACGTGCATTATGAGCATGACCAGGTGACGGACGATTTTGCGTTTGTTTCTTGCATCTGGGATCTGATTGGTTCTCCAAAAATCTGTTGGCTGTTATACAGCGCGGTGAAGTGAGTTGTATTGTTTGAGTATTACGTGCGCTTCACTGTTTATAATTGGATCAACCTATGTACAAAAGTTAAAACAGAGGAAGTTATTTTGGGTATATGATTGGTTGTGCTCTTAACGCTCGCGGAGTATAGCCATTCATTTTTAAATGCTTTGTTTTTTTTTCCATTATTATTTATATTTGTAACACCATTCCAATCACAACCTATCACCACATATTTTAAATATTACATTATATTTTTGCATAGACTCACAAATTCTACAAAACTTGGAAATAAATATTTGTTAATTACAGTGTATAATAACAATTTTACATCAATCAAATATAGTATTAATACTTGCCTTCTTAATACTAAAATTGTTATAAATAATCATATTCTATTAAGTATACAGTTAAGTCTCGATAGTGGATAGCATTGTATTTAAAAAAATAAGTCATTGCGAAATGGTAACTTAACCTTTAGGGCCGGTTGCATAAAGACCAGTCTGTAAATGTTTTCACGGACCTGTAACTTAATCACTCGTTAACTCGTTAACGGCTTGTAAAAAAAAAAATGAGTTTCATAAAAGATTATTATTATTTTGTATTTTATTGATAACCATAACTACCAAATAAATTATACCACATTTAATTTGATTACAATGATTGCTGATTATATTATTAATACTAATAAAAAAAATGTGGCTGATAAGAAATTTTAATATTTCTTATCACCATATTTAACGGATCGTTAAAAGTTAACGAACCAAAATCGGACCTGTAGTTTACAGGTCCAATAGCCGATAATTTACAGACCCGTTAACGTTAACAGTCGTTCAAGCAACACCCAATTTTTTTTAACGGATCGTTAGTGCGTTAACGGCTCTGTAAATCGCTAATGAACGTTTATGCAACCCACCCTTAACCTTCAAATTGAAGGTAATTAGTAGGGTAATTTATCACCTTACTAATTTTAAACTATGTTTTAATATTATTTAGGTTGGTATAAGTGCGGTGGAATTTTATCTATCTTCTATTTATATATTATATGTTATAAAAATAATGTTTATAATTTTTTAATTAGTTTAAAATAATTTATCATTTATTTTGTCTAATAAGAAAAAAAATAAAACAAATGTCAAATAAAAAGTATTAATTACATTTTGTATTCTTTTTTAGTCATATTCATACGAATATATTAAATTTAAAATAAATAAATTTGAAAGAAAAATATATTATGTTTAATCAAGGGAAATTTTTACCCCGCACAACGGAATAGGTACTCATAACCCGTGCAACCTACTGGAGGTTAAGTCATAAGTTTTTTTTAAAACAAATAATGGATCTCAAGAATGATGTCACATCCGCATTATTATTTAATAACATAAATACATTTAAAGTTACCAGTTTGATAGTTTGATCATTAGGTTTTTTTGTTTTTTTCATCTAGTTATTGGTTAGTGCTATCAAAAATAATGAAAACACTACAATAACGCAGATAACGTTTATCCCTACGTGTTGTGAAATTTTGGTTATTCTCCTATAAATACAGAAGTTGTCCCGTGCAAAGCAGGTTTTGCTTTGTTGAACAGTTGTACTATGTAAGACAGATACCACATATAGGTGTGACATCCTCTTAAACAAAGACTTTGTTATTTGTTTTAGCACAAATAAAATAGATATAATTGTTATTATTACCTACCCTTTTTATGAATAAATGTCATTTTCTAAGATATAAATAAACATTAAAGTGGGTTGGGTTAGTATAAAGAATACATTAGTAGAAGCTGCTACCAGATTTTAAGTACCGAACTCAACAAAAAAGAACCATTAGTTTAATAATGAGTGTATGAATATGATAACAAAACTTAATATAAATAGAATGGATGTTTTATTATAATCCTATACAAAAAAAAAATGTTAATTAATTTTTGACTTCTTTAGAAATTAAGTCTATAAAAAGAGTAAATTTAACTCAAGTAGATCAGCAATGGCTGCATAATCATGGACTTAATGATATATCCAATAAAAATCAAGCAAACCTCAAAAATCTTAAATTTTAGAAATAACAATCAATTAAGTATGGGGCAGAGAATAAATGTATCATAATATCTACTCAAATATTTAAAAAGACAAGAAAAATAAATACAGAGCAATCTTCCATATTATTATTTTATAACTTATAATCAATGATTATTCATTTAAGTTAGGGAAACAACAATTATTCAATACCTTATAAGTACAATAAAAATAATAAATAAAGTTTATATTATTATGATGTGTTACATCAATTGACAATATTGCATATTATAGGAAAAAAATTTTAATCATGGATTTGATAAGGTTGGCTACCAGTTAAGCATTAATAACAATTTTATTTAATTCTTTTGCTACATTTATCCAGAACTACAGGAGACAATTTGTTTTAATTTTTAAAGTTATTTGATTAATGTTGTTTAATGTTTATAGGAACTTGGGAAAAGACAACAACAGTTGGAAACTGCTCATTCAATGTTATTACGACATCATGAAGATACTAGAAACCTTGAAACAAGACAACAAAGAGCTGTTCATGCTTTACGCGCTGATCAAGTAACCAGACAACATGAAACTGAATTACAGCACCAACATGATTATTGTGCTCGTGCCCATCGTGATTTACGGAAGAGACATGCAATGCAGCTACGGCAACAACCTAAAAGTCTCAAAGTAAGTTTAATATAATATATGGTTCAAGAAAATGAAATGGCTAAATTTAAGAGCTTGTATTGTTTCTATATCACAAATGTACAACATAACAAATTAGTATTTCCCCATTCTAATTTCGTTAATTAGCTTTATCCAGTGGTCAGGATGCAACTGGTTTTTTTGATGCGTTGACGCTACAGCTACTATCGCCACATTTTCTATACATTTTCTTATAAAAATTTGCTAGTTTGTAGCTTCAGTAGAATGGTTAACCTAATATTTTAATTATCGCCAAATAGCTGTAAGTAGCGACAAAATAATGATTATCTTTGCTTTGTAGACCGTAAATTTCTAGCTCGTTATAGTATATTTCTCTACATTAGGTTTATTGTTGCAGCTCTATGTTAACCACTACAAATGAAATAGTGTGCCACTGTAGCACACTAATCTCAACCACTGGCTTTTTAACAATAAAGTGAATTGACCTCTTATAAAACTTAAAAGTAAGCACTAAGAACATTATCTGTATTTTCTCCCAGATTTAAAAAAAAATACAGATAATGTTCTTAACTTTAAGGTCAAATCACTTTAATAAAGCTAACTTCACAAAATTGGAACTGCTCAACCAAATTTTCTGATAAATGGAGCTAGTTATATTCGTTTATCATTGCACCTAATTTTAATCTGTGGACAATGAACTTAAATCTATCAAACTATTTTACACTAAATTAAATTGTTGATTATATGACTTTATTACTAGATATGAATTGATAACAATCTTTAAAGAACAAATTAAATAAATAATTGTGTGTATATTTTAGCATAAAGAAATGCAAATTAGAAAACAGTTTAGAGAAACGTGTAAAACTCAAACACGACAGTACAAAGTATTAAAAGCTCAGGTACTGGCAACTACAACCAAAGAAGAACAAAAAACTGTGATTAAAAAATTAAAAGAAGAACAACGAAGAAAATTAGCATTACTCGGAGAACAATATGAACAAAGTATTTCTGAAATGTTACAAAAACAATCTGTAAGTTAATGAATTATTATAATTTATAATATTTTTTAAAGTTTAAATTATATTCATAGTACATTAATACTTTTTAGATACGACTCGACGAATCACAAGAAGTTGAGTGCCATGTGCTTAAAGAACGTTTAAGATATGAACTTGAAATATTAATAGCATATCAATCAAAGAATAAGATGCAAGCAGATGCTCAAAGAAATCGTGAGAAAAAAGAATTAGAAGATCGTATTTCAGTTCGAAGATCATTACTAGAGCAAAAGGTGCTGTGCATAGTTATTAAAATATTTACAATTTAAGATTCTCAAATAAAAAGTTACCATTGGTTATAAATATAAAACATTGAATTTATAAAAAAGTTAATTAACAATTAATAGAAAGAAAGTTTATTTTTATTAAGTAATATACTAATTATCTCAAGTAATTTTGATGTTTTTAATGCAGTTTGATACTTATCTGATACTTAAGTAAAATACTTATACTATTTAAAGCTGTATTAAATATATACTATTATTGTACAAATCATGACTAAATAGATAAGTATGGTCGCATTGGTACATGTTCTTATCCATTCTAGTGCAACACGTCTACTGCAGTTCTCATAATTTTATTGGTCATAATAATTTTGGTGCCAATATTTTATAATATGTGAATATTGTTACTGTTCTATTATTGTTTATATACTTTGTGTAATTGCCGTTTGGCGTAAATAAAATAAAAATAAAAAATATTACATGATACCATCATAGTTCTACCTAACTTAAGTCATAAACTCAAAACTCATAAAAACAAAACATTCAAATACTCAAAAATAATAACTTTAAATTAAAGTAAATTCCAAAATATAATCTAATGTCGATAATATGAATGAGAAGTAGAGAATTGAGTAATAGACTGATCTGAAGAGGAATGTGCTTACCAGTGAAAAAATGTGATCATACCTAGTCATAGTAGTAATGATGCTTTGTTAATGTTTTATCTATAAATATTTTATGAAATTCCAGATGGAAATGGAAACAAAACAATTTCTACAAGAGCGTGGGGAACGTATTCGTCTTCTCCGTGAAAAACAAGAAAGAGAACTAGAACAGTTTGACGAAGAGTCAGCCCGTTTGGGTTTTAGGTTGGTATTTATTTTGTATTGTTTAATTTATTATTATTAATTGTAATGGAATTATTTTAGTGCCTTAGCAATTGCCGAAGCATCGAGTCTTGAACAGGATAGTTTGTCTGGCAGTGTGCTTAGCCTAGCTCGTAGCAACAGTACTAACTCATTTCATGACGGAAATCTATAGCCCCACATGTTTCTATATATGTAAATAATTTTACTATCTACCCTTTCTAACAGCTTTTTAATATTTTCACATATCAGATAGTAGACAAATTTCTCATTTAAATTTGATTCTACTTAAATATTTTTATTTTATTCAGTATTAGAAAGCTTAATTAACGGATTGAAATTAACATATTTTCTCGAAAACAAATTAATAATAATAGCATTGTATAATACCATAACATTTTATTTGTATAATTATTATAATTGCCTACTGTAATCCCATGATACATTTTGTAGACACTATTTCCTTTTGTAATTAAATAACGAAAAATGTGAACAAAATGATTTACTTTATATATATATATATATATATTATTATTATTATTATTATTATTATTATTATTACTGTAACGTTTTTATTATGTACATATATCTATTATAGTAAGTTGAAAATATTTAAATGTATGTGTTGAATGTATTTGATTTTTTTTGTTCTTGTGGATAATTTGATTTTTTAAATTAAAAGTTTACATTGCTTTTAAAGAACATAATAAATTATACAATGATTCTGATGACCTGCTTATTTTGTTATTCTAAGATAAACCAGCTTATAGACTAGGTATATAACTTTATACTATAAATCTAATTTGCTTTCAGTTTTTACAAGATTGATTATAAAACCAATATAAAGTAAATAATTGAAACAATTTTATTATATAGTACCTACAATTTAGGAATTAAAAAAAAAAAAAATCAATAATTGTAATCATTCAGTGTTTTTATTACAAAATACATAATTTATTTCTTACATTTCTTATTGGATTCATTAGGATTCCTTTTCATCCATTGTTTTTGCACTGAACCTTTGAAACCAAGCATGGCGGACTTGGAATAAACATCCTTCGTAGCGAAAGGAGACGATTTAGCTGTATAGTCTGGGTCCAAAGCATTGGTTTTGGATTTAGCCAACCTAGTTGGTCGTTGATGTGGCATTGGTTGATCTTCTACCAGTCTTGGGTTGACTGCATGTTTACCACCTTGTGGTTTAGGTAATGAGTACTTTTTACCTTTAAAACTTAATGGTCTTTTGCCGTTAATGTACACACATTGTTTTCCATTTTCATCCAAATACACAGCTACTCGTTTTAAGCTTTTGTTCCCACATTTCGGGCAAAACAATCTTGTCATATTGGATGTCAACGTAAAGCATCCATAACAGCGTCTTAAATAAGTCCGAACTTCTTTAATCACACGGCCATCTAAAGCAATAATAGAGAGGCCTATTTGTTTGAGTACATTTTGCACAGCATAATCGGTGGTAATGCAACCGACTTTGGCTTCTTGTTCGGTGAGATCGTCTCCATTATTTTTATTTATATTTTTTATATTATCCTCTGTAATCCACCCATCATCGATCTCCAAGTCTGACACATCTTCGCTCAAATGGTCCGGATCATAAAACCCAACAGTGTTGTCATTAACCTCGGGCTTTTCAAACACAACTGATTTGGAAATCGGTTCGGTCTTCAAATCGTCTACGCCAAAATATTCTTTGTGTATTTGATAAGCCAAAGCTATTACTTTAATATCGGTGACAGATAGATTCGGATAGTCACCAGTCTTTTTTGAAAAATCCACAACAAACTGAATGTGTTCGGGGAACACGGTTTTTATGTTGAGAGTGTAAGGCAATACTGATAAATCTGTTTTTTGACGTTTATTTGTCACCTCGTTCACCACTTCTTGAATAGTGTGGATGTTCAAACCGAAGTCTTGGAGAGGTGCTTTGTCGATAAAACCGGCAGTATCCACGATCAAGTGTTGAATTTTAGACATTTTCGCAATTTCATTACACGCAACACGTGAGAGAAGTAACAACGAGTAAATAGCGACGGGTGTAAAATGTAAATTCAGTTCAATGATAAACATCCAAAGATAAGACGTAATTACTGAATAACTGATAACTGTGATCAGTGTTTATTTATTTTGGGGATCAGTAGTGATAAGAAACTTTGTATGTTCGGTTGCTTTTAATCACGTTACAGGCGAAAAAGAATATAATGCCACATAATATTCACAAGTTCGGTTTTAAATATTTTAAACCGTGAGCATAAGATTGATAGCGTCATAGAATTCTTCAGTTTTTCATGTGATTACCAAGTTATAAATAAAAATAAATAATACCAGATTAAATAATTAAATCGATGATTTGTTTATATTAAGCCTGATAAACTTTAAAGTTACTAACCAGTAACCATTACCTACACTCGAAATAACCATTATTTTATTCGGTTTCCCAAAGTTACATATGACATGCTATACTTAAATCACCCAATCAATGATTTAATAATTTAATGTCTCACTGCAACAATCTTTTTGAGCATAATCTATTAGTGTGTGCCTAAGACACATTATTTTTTTAGGTGAGACTCAAACCCATTTTATTTAAATGCCTATTTACGTATACGTTTATAGTTTAGTCCAGTAAAGTTTTACAACTTGTACTGCCATTGCCATACGATACATATTTATAATACCGTATTTAACGTTACCTAGGTATGTAATATGTATGTTTTATCATAATTAGCGATGCAAACTTAGGGGGAATATTTATAGGTATTTTAATTTTTAGGTTTTTTTTTATTTAAGTTGATTACATTATTTTACAAGTCAAAAAGATTAAAAAATATGTAATACAAGGTTCCTCATAAATTGTTCTTACAGCAATTAAAAAATATCGAACATACATAGTCACCATTTTTTTCTACATTTGAAGGTTAAATTTTGACGAAGCATCATCGTAACAATTTTTCCTCTAACGATTTTAGTTATTATATTTTGTGTATATTACATCCTATAGGTACTAGTATAATATTATAGTCTATGGTCTATGGCTGTAGTCTGTAGGTAAATAAAATTCAAAAAATATCGATCGTAAAAGTTTCAGACTTTTCACCATTATATTATACCTATATAATATTATTTTCTATACCTATTAGTTGTACAAAATATAAAAACAAAAGTCAAAAACATATGAAATATGCCTAATAGTGATAAAAATACATTATAAGACTTTGTCAGAAATAGAGGTTTTCACACCGACCGTCTTCAACAGATTCGTTTTTTGGTACCTATGCAACGATTTATCATAATGATGGTCCGGACTCCGGGTTTTCATGCAAATGCATATTCTTCTACAATTTAGTCACCTAAAATTATTTTGATTCGAAATGTATACTTTAGATTGTATGGTTCAATTTTTTTTTTCATATTTCAGTAAAAATTACTATAAATTGCATACTTCTATTTAATTGAAAAAAAGTTGAGTTTTTTTATAGATACCTAGTCAATGATTTTTTTGATTTTTTGCTCCACAAAATGTGTTTATTTTTTTTTATTGGCATTTCCTGCTCTGATCATTGACGTCAGTGGCGTATATAAAAATATTTTTTGGGGTGGGCTATAGTAGATAGAAACTATCAAGTGATCTATTACTTAGAGGTTACTGTCTACTATATATTTAACAGTTTCTATAAATATATTCGTACTTGTTATTTTTCAACAGGCTATGAAATATTATAACTTATCATAGTACCTAATAAAATATATTGTTGTTTATTTAAAAAAACTGTAATTTCGTAGGGGGGGGGCTGCAGCCCACTATGCCCACCCCCTATATACGCCACTGATTGACGACGCAAGGCGAGTGCGAGGCAAGTGCGAGGCAGCACGTTTGACCCGAAATATAAATCTATGCTACCTGATAAATGATAATAGCAGAAATTTCCGATTTAAAAGCAAAAAATCTTATTTTCTAACCTATTTTTAATTTTTGGGAGTGCTGTAGAAACGATTCTACAGCCTCCCCACTATTTCGCTTATTCCTTTGAAAATAGATCCGTATCAATTCTGATTTTCATCGTATAAATTCATAAGAATTCCATACCGAATTTTTATGAAAAATATTTGAAAAACAACCTTTTTTCTGTGGGGGGGAGGGCTGAGGAAATGTTCGTTATTGGTACTTGTTGAAAAATTAATATTACATTTTCTATTTCCCAATAATTTTGCCTTTAGTTTTTAAATACACATTTGTAAGCAGAAATATAACGACATTTCAATTGTAATTTTTTTTTCACATAATATATTTTGTAGTTTTTTAAGATGTTTAGTTTTTTATTAAGCAACAAAGGATTTTTTTTACATATTTTGAAGTTTTGAGTGCATAAATAATAAATATGTGCATATTTAACAATCATTTTTGCATTTAATTCAGGGCCCTAATTCATATGAAGGGATAAGGGGAAAAACGATAATAGTCATATTCCTAAAATGTTCAGTATTGCAGTTTTAAAATGGGACTCGAGTATATCTGGCCTTTTTTTCCCGTTACAGTAATATTTAAACCTGTATTATATAATTTACCGTGATCTTTTTTCCTTAACTCGATTCACGTGTCGATTCGTTACAAAACTAACCAAAAGGACTATAATTATTTGATTTTTTTCTTTCTTTTGCCTATGATCGTTTTTCACCGTAATAACCCTTCATATTAAATTAAAATTTTAATACGTCATCCGTTACATTGACCTACTGGCTATAACTCAATGACGAGGTACCTACACTCGAAACCTATATATTATATATGCAGCCAAGCGACTTCACCGGGTTTTTAAATTCATATTCATACAATCTACCCATTACGGGCTCGTCCCCATGGGAGGGGGGGTGAAATGAAATAAGCTCTCCATAACAATTTTTAATATAATAATTATCAACATGTTCATTTTCTTTTATGAGTAAAAAAAAATAATAACCTTAAAATCTTAAAAACCTAAAAAAATTAACTTAGTAAAATTGACATAAGTTCCCCAAACATTTGAAAAATATGCCTATAGTAATTATTATTATTTTAAGAAATATGCCCCCCTTCTCATTGAACACTGTCTAGAGTCGCCACTGACCTATACGTATTCGAGCACCCATACATGTATATAATATGAGTTATGACACAACTATGGGCCCGGAGGAGGGGTTTTTGACTTTTTGGGTATAGTTAAATATTGTTATATTGTACATAACGCACAGTATTGTTAACGTTTGTTATTTTAATCAATCCAGAAATGTAGCCAGAGCCGTTGGGTGCAGCCGTCGACCGTTGTCTTCGTCAAATCATAATCAAAATGATGAATTAAAATAAAAATAATATCTTATTGTTCTGACGACCTACCTAACAGCTGATATATTATTGTGCTTATACTAAATACCTATAATAAAACATCCTAATGTCTATTGTATATACGCAGTATTAATATTATACTGTTATTAATGGTGGAGTAGGTATATACCTAGTACTTTTGTTGTACATTACATTTTTACTTACCTATAAAAAATAAACACCAGTCGATATAAGTTAACATTAATTTTACGCATTTACACATTTTTTTATGTATTATTTAAAAAATGCAAGCCCTATAAATCTCAGTAGATTTACATTAAACGTATTTTCATACCAGGACATACCTATTTTATTGGCACACAGATATAAATTCACTTGGGTTATATTGTATTGTATTATAATATAATATTTTAGATGATTGTTTGAAAATGTTATCCAAATTTTAAATAAATGTACGAAATAGTAGAACTATAATATAAATAGAGTTATTATTTAAATAACAAGTACAGTTTGAGTTTATATTCCATATTCAAGTGGTTTTACAGACATCAATGCCCAATTATGGCTCTATTCAACAAAGCAGATGGAAAAATAAAATAATAATATATATTAAAATAATAAGTAGAGTCGTAGATACTGTGGAGAAAGAATAGATAAATAATACGAAATTTCGGGTGAGTAAGACATAAGTGGACAGTTGAGATCTTTGAGGCTTTGAATCATTTCCATAATGCTGATGATTTCTTATTCCAGACAAATTGACCCAGACAACGAATTAATATAAAGAATTGAGTAAAGTAGGTAAAAAATAAATTATATCTTAAGTATAATAAGCCACCTTTATTCCAAAATACTATAATTTATGATTACGTATCTAAAATAACAAGGCCCTTTCAAATTTGAATGCAAGTCATATAGATATGCATTTTACTTGAATACTTTAACATGTATATTTATAAAGATTCAATCATCCATGGTACTTAGTATACATGTTATAGTCATAAATTACTTAAATTTGAAGAATATGATTGAAACGCTAATTTTTTGATTATATAGGCAGGTAGTACTACTCGTCTACACCAACATTAATATACCTACATATATTATATATTGTACATCCATCTCATAGACATTATGAAAAAAAAAACTAAATTTTGATCTTTCATCGAAGTATTTTTTTTAACTTTTCATAGGATGGAACATTATACCTGACAAATAAAAAAAAATGTATGTGCTAAAACATATGACAAAAATTATGAAATATATATGGATAATGTTAATTATTTTATGAAAATATGAAATATACTTATGTCAGAAAAATCCCCCATTAAATTATAAAATTAATATTTAAAAAAATTGTATAAAAATAAACTACATGACTTAAAAAAACGTTTTATCATCAAAATTTGTCTAAAAATTAGATTTCCAATTGGTTATTTAAAACTTTTTGTTTTCAAAATTTACAAAAAAAAATATTATACTGTACTTATAGTGCAAGCATCTATAAATTATATATATAAATAATCTTTAAATATTGATTAGAAAAAAAATTATTTAATTTGTCAGTCCTTTCTGTTAATTTATGTTAATCTATAAATTATAAAAAAAAATTACGTCTGTTCCGTGCAACAGAGCGTGTGATATTTAATCAAGGGCT